TACGAATTTCTTCACGTCAGGTTGTTGAAGATTAAGGAGTATTTTAGATCTAAGAGCTATAGTTGAAAAATTATCAGAATGCCGGTGTATTCTCCAAGAATTATTAAGTGCTCCAGAAAAAAAAGCGTATATGTATCTTTAAATTATTGCCCGGAGCAAAGCGACGGACTTATATTTTCAGGTTAGTAGCAAAATTGTCCGTCTGTCCGCCCAAGTGATTTTACATGTACCATATTCCGTTCTCCAAAGTATCCCCATGTATTATATCCCACCTTAATAACTGTAAAATATCCGGGTATAATGCTATGAGTATTCAATACAATTTGACACAGCGTTAATAGTAAATTACATAACTTTGCCACCCATATAAAGTACCCTTATCGGGCTTTAAAATGCCCAAATTTGTAAAAGACCTGTGGTACTTTGGTGAACGGAATACGGTATATGCAATGTTGTCACATAGGTATTTGGCCGGAAGTTTTTAAAAAATTTATTTGGCCGAAATGGCCAAAAGTTTATACTGGCTAATATTATTAAATAAATTATGTACTGTATACCTTAGAAGTTAAATAAGTTAATTCGTGATCCGCCAGAGAACTAGTAACAAAACATAGTAAATAGTGGGGATTTACTATATGTTTTTTATTATCTTTGGAAATTGGAGATGCCCAAAGGAAAACGTTTTTCTTTACTAAGTAAACCTCTTTTCAACGACTAAGTAAAGTTGTAGAGGAGTATCTTGCGGTCAGAATGGCAGGGCAGTTAAAACGTTAATATCGGCTCGGTGGATCGCGAGATATAAGCATTTTAGTCTTCGCGACTATATGTTTTTCTTCTTTATAAAATAAAGAAAAAAAAACATATGGTCACGAAGACTAAAATGCTTATATCTCGCGATCCATTGAGCCGTTTTAACATTTCAACTGCCATTCTGACCGCAAGACACTCCTCCACAACGTTACTTAGTCGTTGAAAAGAGGGTTACTTAGTAAAGAAAAATTACTACCGTAAACTGCCGTATAAAAGACCCGGGTCTCTTACACCCCACCAATATTAAAACCTAATATAAGACCCCGGGTCTAGTACATGGTGGAGAGTTTGTACCATTAGCATGCATATTTTTCATTCATAGTGGGCAGCCTAGATATTTAAAAAAACCGCATTTGGTTATTGTAGATTTTGAGATTCACACCCGGGTCTAGTACATAGGGGGTCTGATATCTGAGGGGATCTTGTATACGGCAGTTTACGTTCTCTGGCGGATCACGAATTAAGTTTGTATAAAATTTTATTAAAAATAAAATACGTATCATTAGGATATCGTAGTTAAATTTTGATAATTTAGAAATAAATTTTCTAGAATTTAAAAATTTTAGAAAATATTTTAGACTCGTATTTCTAAGCAATTTGAATGCACGTGTAAAAATTCATGATCTATTTTTGGTCAAAATGCATCAAAAACGTAACTTTAGTATTACACTAATAGTCTCTAGACAATAATACAATACTGCTTTATCGCTATATATTTGTTATATTGTAGACCACTAAAAGATATTCGAATGTATTATTGATATATGTAGACCATTAAAAGATATCTGAATGTATTATTGCCTAGTAAATATACAAGTCGGACCAAACCGTTAGCATCCCTAATTGCTCCATTAACAACCCTATGTAAACGGCAGTGATAAATAGCATTAAATATAACTTTCTTCAAAATATTCGATAAAAAAAATATGAGGCAAGTGAAAAACCGCGCGTTAAGACTCTCTAAATATATCAAGTAGACCAGTTAGATTTTTCTTGGTGTCCCTTCGAAACTGTACTGAACTACTAATTCTGATAAGGAATTAGTTACGTATATTTTGTATAGTGCTCCAGATGTTTCAACAGACCTCCGGACTTCTTCCTGACTGGCCACCTTGAAGATTTTCTGGTTGTCTTTAGATACATTTGAACGGGCAAAAGACCTGTTCTAATGGCGTATAATTGTTACTGCCAAATGGGTGTTTCAATCACCTGGCTTGCTCATTTTTCGAAAAAATCCCATTTTTCTTGGTTTTTAAATTTTTTTTCGAAACTGTACTGAACTACTAATTCTGATAAGGAATTAGTTACGTATATCTTGTATAGTGCTCCAGATGTTTCAACGGACCTCCGGACTTCTTCCTGTCTTTAGATACATTTGAACGGGCAAAAGACCTGTTCTAATGGCATACAATTGTTACTGTCAAATGGGTGTTTCAATCACCTGGCTTGCTTTTTTTTTCGAAAAAATCCCATTTTTCTTGGTTGGCGCCCATTAAAATCCTTTTTTGGTCATTCTTTAGATATATTGAAGAGGCTCTTTAATAAGTCTTTTGATTTTTTAAATAGTATTTTCCTTGCTTAACCTTCCTTATTATTATTATTTAAGTCATGGAACTACGACACATTGAATTAGAACGACGTATCAAAGAGCTTTGGAATTAACAAGAGCTTCAAAATGAGTTTGTCGCAAGGTATCAATTAATATCGACGATTTACGATACCCGATATCACTGTGAAAAGTTTCGAACTGTTATTAAAGTAAGTATAATATATAGTAAAAAAAAAATTTATTATTATTTACTCAAAATTTTAATTTATTTGATTTTTATATTGTAACAGATATTTATATAGTGGTACGTTATCTTTGGAGGGTCTTCGGCCGGTAAAGATATTTGACTTATACTATGCCAGTGTTACGAATAGTTGTGGTGCATGATTGAGTAAAGCAGTGGTGTATACTACAAAAATCGCATCTGAGTATATAAAACTAGCATATTATACTCTCAACATATATCTGATATAGCAAATAATTTAATACGTGACCTCACAAAAATTCTACAAAAGATTATTTATCGTTATAATAAAAATATATCAAATATGTATGGGTCAGTAACAAATAAGATTTTAACAAAAATCAAAAAAAAAAGTGTACTTTGATTAAATTGAAAATCGCATTTTTAACTTTTACGAAGCTTAAAAGTAACAGTCCTGCGATCTTTGTGCGCCAAATCTATAACTAAATAACCATATTTACCAGCATATATTTAATTAAATCTTTACATTTAAAAAAGAAATTTATCATTAATTTAAATCCGAATGGCTTGGAGATCACGGAACTGACACTTTCTGAGATAGCTTCGTATATCTTTATTGGGTTTCACTGAGGTTTCACGTTTCACCAGGGCTTTAACGTTTCGACCTTTCATCTTCTTGAACTTAGGTATCGTCATTTGCCATTTTTGGAAGCTTTTTTGAAAAAAAAATCCTCAGTTATTAGTATTAAAAGCTTTCATTTAAAGAAATATTTTCATCAAAAAAATTTCCTCTTTATCAGTAATAAAGCTTTCATTAAAAGGAACATTTTCTTCGAAAAAATTATCTTCTTCGAAGTTTAAAGGTCGTTTTCTTTAACGTCACGTTTGCAAAAATTTTATATACGTTTCATACTATACACAATATAATACTTTATACGCAGTTGTGACCTCACCAACCATACACACATGTTTGCTAATTTAACGTAGTATACACCACTACTTTACTAAATCATACACCACAACTATTCGTATTACTCAATCTTTATGCATTAATTTTGCTTTATGAATTGCATGAAGCCCATCAGTTATGTAATATAAGTTAGAAGACCAATCTTATTCATCATATTTACCATCTGATAATTTTCAGAGACTTCCCTGTTTTAACCATCATATAGTTATCATCTTTTAGGTTCTTGGTTACTCCATAAATCCTAATTACCGACTTGCTACTTGTGTTGATTTTACCTAAAATATTAATTAGTATAAATAAGATTATATACTTTAATAATCACAGATCATACAGTAAATTAAGATTCGTGCATACTTCTAAGAATTCTCGTTTATATCTTTAGAATTATCAAGACTTTTTAAACAAATATCTATTGCGAACTTCTCTTCACTCACTCCTCATTTTGATCGAGTCCTGTAATATATCCGTCAATCCATACTGTCTTAAAAATAATACAAGCC